TTTTTTTTTTTCTTTTGTACCAGGGATTGAAATCAGGGACACTCAGTCACTGAGCCACATCCACAGCCCCTTTTATATTTTATTTGGAGACAAGGTCCAGCTAAGTTKCGAGGCTGGCTTTGAACTCAGGATCCTCCTGCCTCAGCTTCCCAAGCYCCTAGGATTATAGGTGTTCACAATGTCCAGCATAGACGCCCCTTTTTGTTCTTCATTTCTCTATACAGCTTCCACATGTGAGGGAAAAACATTTTACCCTTGACTTTCTGTGTCCAGCTTATTTCACTTAGTGTGAATTTCTCCGTTTCTATCCATTTATCAGCAAATGACATAATTTCATTCTCTTTTATGGCTGAGTAGAACTTATTCATTCACATATTGATGGGCACTAGGATGATTCCATAACTTCACTATTGTATACTGTGTTGCTATAAACATTGCTATGTGTATATCACTATAGCATGCTGATTTTAAAATCTTTTGGTAAATACTAAGGAATGTGAGAGGCGAGTTATAATAGGTCCATTCCTAGACTTTTTTTGTACTGGGGATTGAACCTAGGGGTGCTTAAACACTGAGTCACATCCATATCTATTTATCTATCTAATCTATCTCATCTATCTATCTGTATGTCAGGGTCTCTCAATAGTGAAGGCTGGCCTCCAAGTTGTGTGAKCCCTTCCTGTTTCATCCTCCTAAGTACTTGGATTATGGAGCCTGGCTATGAAGTGGTTTTGTTATTCCCCTTTCATGCCCAAGAAAATYGTGTTCGACTTAATTGTCCAAAATTACAGACTAACTAATAGCAAAGACAGATTCTCAAAGCCAGATGATATTCAAACATATTTTATTTTTTATTTTTGGTGGTACTAGGAATTAAACCCAGGGCCTGGAGCATCCTAGGCAAATACTCTATCATTTAGCTACACTCCAGCCCTCTAACATATATTTTAAACTACCAACAGAATCAATCTCCCAATTCATATATATATATATATATATATATATATACATCACATATAAATAAATAAAATAAAGGCCTATCAACAATTCATATACAATTCATATATGAATTGCTGATAGGCCTTTATTTTATTTACTTATATGTGGTGCTGAGAATCGAACTCAGTGCCTCACACATACCAGTGTGCTACTGCTGAGACCCTGCCCCAATCTCCCAATTCTTTGAAGAATGAATAGTTCTTCAGAAAAAGCTTACACCACTGTCAGTGATCATTCAATGGGCCACTTTCTCTTAAGTGCTTTAAGTAGTATAGTGTTCAAATTATGCAGAAGCCCCTGTTGGTTTCAAATGGAGAGCTAAGTGGTTTTGGCGCCCCTTTTACTGGTTCCAAGGCTAGGTGAGATGTCTCTGTGTTTCTTTCAAACAACTGACACTTGTCTCTAGAGGACCAGGCCTGGGTGTTGTCTGCTGGTGAATGCTAGCACCTGATACCATGAATCCCAAAGGGGATGTTGGGTATGGATGAGCAGACCTATTTTTTTGTTTGTTTTGGTACCARGGATTGGGSGCTTAACCACTGAGCCACACCCCCAGCCCTTTTTAATATTTAGTGACGGGTCTCGCTGAGTTGATTAAGGCCTCRCTAAATTGCTGAGGGTGGCTTTGAACTCTCGGTCCTTCTCCCTTAGCCTTTCGAGCTGCAGGGATTACGGGCGTGAGCAACCTCGCTCAGGCCTTTCTTAATTATGGTTCTTATTCAGCGAATTTGGCGTCAWCCCTAAAAGGCGACAAAAATGACGTCACAAGATGAATAGCGGATTCCCCCGAATACACAAGTGAAGATCCTTGCAGACATTAGCTATCTAACAGCACTCGAGAGGCGCCACTCAAAGGAATTAGCAGTGGGCATTTACCAGGTGGGGCTGGCGAGAATCGGGCCAGTGTTTGAATGAGACTACAAAGCTAACCTTTGTGGTTCCCTCCAGTTCTATTCCTCTGCGAGGTCTTTCTAATTAGTCCATGCATCACAAACAATCAACTCACTAGGTCCCAGGAAGCCGGTACTTGAATCCACCACGTGGACCCCAGACTTCCTTATGCTCTGCGCTTCCGCCGGAAACGCTTTGCTACAGGAAGTGACGGAAGCTGGCCGGCCCAAGGGGGTTGTACTTTCCCTTCCTTTGCACGCGGTTGAAGAGACCGGTAGGCCTGGACGACTTGTGCTGAATGATGCCGGGAAAACTCCGTAGTGACGCCAGTTTGGAATCAGACATGGCCATGGAAAAGCTGGAGACCCGGCGAAAGCAAAACGTGAAGGTGATACCGAGGGGCCTGGGGCAAGGCAGGACCAGGGGCCGGGCAACGAGAGCAGCGGGGCCCGGCAGTACGGGAGACATGCCGGGCTGAGAGCGTGTTGCACGCGGCGAGGACCGGCATGTCCAGGTGCCGGGCCTGGGGCTGGGCAGGCGGGAGTCCAACAGTGGCCCTTTCTCTGACCAGTGGACGCATTGTCCTCCGGACGGAGTCTGCTCTGTAGCTCCGACCTCTTCTCTCACCTTTTACACGGCGGCAAGCCCAGGGAGCTTTGGCAGAGAGGCCGGATTGAGCTGGAGAGAGGATCACTGTCCCTCAGGGTCCTGGGGAATTGGGAGTTCCGCACCCCATGCACGAAGTTGAAGGTCCACTTTAGGCCCCACGTTGTGGGCTCAGACTTAACTCCAGGTGTGAGCGTGMGCGAAGGGAATTATAAATAAGTCTGGAGACTGAAGCTTTAGACGAAGGAGATCTTAAATCCGTCCGCGCAGCACACGTGGACGGCATAAGCAGTGACATTTTCCTTACTTGTTTTACTACAATAAGGGAGGTACAGTTTGCTCCTCGGTAAGCAGCTCAGAAGATGAGGTAATCCAACTCTTCGTATTTATTGACAAGATCGTCTGTGGAAATGTAGAGAGAGTGTGCGAACTGACCACCCTATTTCTTCCATAGGCCGGCAGTGGCTGTAGTTAAAATAGCCCTGGTAGTCTTCTGATTCTTGCCTGTTGCTTAATAAGACTGAAGAGTAAGACTGAAGGTTGTGATTTAACTTGTGACCAAGTCTGTTCTGAAAATCAGTGGAAACAAGATTGTTCCTGAATTTGTGTTGTACACGCCTTGGAATTTACTTTCTTTGCGGTTTCTGGGTCTGATAGGTGGCTCTTAAAACAGCAAATTTGTGGTGCACTGTGAGGAGGTAGTGGCTTTCATTTACTCATTCTGCATCAGTAAATGTGTTCAACTTTGGAGTGGTTGCTCCCTTATCAAGAGAGACATAAGCAGGGCTGGGCATGTGGCTCAATGGTAAAGTACCCCAGGGTTCCATCTCCAGTACCAAGATCTACTTCAGATCACTTAGGAAAATTCTGATTTATGATTTGGCCAATAAGAATTGCATAGTTACTAGGAGATACTCTTGACTTTTCAAGCTAATAAAACTGTTTTTATATATTTATCTTCATATAGGTAAGAAGTGGTATTAAGAAGCATACTAGGGCTGGGGTTGTGGCCCAGAGGTAGAGCGCTAGCCTACCCTGCACTGGGTTCGATCCTCAGCATCACATAAAAATAAAATGAATAAAATAAAGGTATAAAAAAATAAATAAAGATATTGTGTTCACCTGTAACTAAAAAATATTTTTTATTTATTTTTTTTAAGAGAGAATTTTAATATTTATTTTTTAGTTCTCGGTGGACACAACATCTTTGTATGTGGTGCTGAGAATCGAACCCAGGCCGCACGCATGCCAGGCGAGTGCGCTACCGCTTGAGCCACATCCCCAGCCCTAAAAAATATTTTTTAAAAAAGCATACTGATTTCTACCTTAGGACAATAGGAATAACAAATGATGAAATGCCCCAATATTATGTTCTTCATAATTGTGATCTTAAAGTGATCCAGAATTGATGTCATAAATGTCATAAATGATGTTTTGTTTTGTATTTGTGTTTTCTTTATTAATTTTTTTAGAAAGATAGAAAAGAGCAGCCAAAGTCTAATAAGACTGAAGAATGTGCAGAAGGAAAAGAAGAAACTCTTACCCCCAAAACCAAAAAAGTTAAAAACAAATCAGGGCCTTCTGAAGCTGATACAAATTCTCCTAAATCCAAAAAGGCAAAAAAGCAAGAGGAGCCTACTCAAGATGACATTATTTCTCCTAAAACCAAAAGTGCAAAAAAGAAAAAGGAAAAGGAGCCTCTTGAAAAGGAAGTTGTCTCTCCTAAAACCAAAAAAGTAATAAAAAATGATGAACCTTCTGAAGAAGATGTGGATGCTCCTAAACCCAAGAAAATGAAGAAAGAGAAGGAAGTAAATGGAGACATTGGAGAGAAAAGTCCCAAACTAAAGAATGGATTCTCTCATTCTGAACCTGACTCCAATGAAGCTGCCAGTGAAGAAAGTAACAGTGAAATAGAGCAGGTAAAGTTGCATAGGTAGAACGTATCTTTCAATGTTTCGGAAATAGATAATGCTACACATACATCTCCTATTTTTTAATGTTATTATATTTTTCATATATTTATTTATTTATTTTTATGGGGGTGCTGGGGATTGAACCCAGTGCCTCACACATGCTAGGCAAGCACTCTACCATTGAGCTACAACCACAGCCGTACACATGCTGTTTTGACAGTAAAAGGAAATTTTTTATCTCAGCAATCGTTGGAGGTATCTTGAGTTGCAGGGTGAGACTTCATCTTAAAAATTACAGTGTTGAGGATCCGGGATATAGCTCAGTTAGTARAGTGCTTGCCTTTGGGATATAGCTCAGTTGGTAGAGGGCTTGCCTCACATGCAAAAGGCCATGGGTTTAATCCCAGCACCACACACACAAAAAAAGTCTTAAATAAATCTTTTTGTTTAGGCCATTAAGTAATTTTGAGTTGAATAGGATTAAATGTCCTTTTGGAACTCAGTTCTTTCACCCTTCAGAAACTTAGTCGTGAAAGAAAAATTGTGGGCTGGTCATGTGGCTCAGTAGTAGAGTGTTTGTCTAACATGCTCAAGGCGCTGGATTTAATCCCCAGCATCACAGAAAAATCCTAACATGTTTTCTGTTTGCCATAGGTTATGATCACAATTGACAGTTTTTCCCCTAATTGTAAGGTGAAAAATTTTAGGAAATGGAGAAATTTATCTGAGGAGGGGAGCTTCCTAGAATTTTAGCATTCATTCATTCAGTTAACACTGAATACTTTTCAGATACAGAGGCAACCTGTTGTTAAATTTTGATGTTTCCTTATGGTACAATGTATTTAGGATTGTACCTTATGCAGTCTTGTATCTTGCTCTTTCTACTTTATATAAGAATTTTTCATTATTTTTAAATATTTAATGTTTAATGGCTACATAACCTCTTGCAAATGTTTATAAATTTATTTTTAATATCTATTTATTTGTGGTGCTGAGGATTGAACCCAAGGCCTCGAACACGCTAGGTAAACACTCTACCGCTGAGCCACAACCCCAATCCCCTTAAAAAGTTGTTTTTGAAGAGATTCTTTTGTTTCTTTCTCAGAAGACTTCTGTATTAACTTTTATGTGAGTTAAGATTTCTTTCTGTGGTCCTTGACAGGAAATACCTGTGGAACAAAAAGAAGGTGCTTTCTCTAATTTTCCCATATCTGAAGAGACTATTAAGCTTCTCAAAGGTAATATTCTCGGAAATATTACATAATGTCAGAACATATTATTCAGAAGCACTACATTCTTGTTGGATGAACCAGGATGTGATCTTATTTTTGGACAATATAGGCAATCAGATAATGAAGTAGACCAGTATATTCATAGTAGGACTATGGTAGTGATAGTCTTGGCTGCCTCTAATAAGTGGTTAAAATTTACCCTTTACTCAGAAGTATAATGGCTGATACTGCTGATTAATGCCATGTTCAGTTTTCCTTTTCATCTTCTGCTTGAAGTATTTCTAGGTTAATACCAGATTGATTCAGAATTTATCTTAACATTCTGCCTATGAATTGCTGGGTAGTCGTGGATGCTCCACAAAGTGTTTTCTGAATCAGTTGCAGCACAGTCTGGATTGCAAAGTGTTCGATTTTTTTCAGGCTCACAAGATTGTCTGACAAGTGACTTGCTCTCTTAATATATTAAAAGTTTATTATAATTTGATGCGTTAAAAATTTGCAAATATTTTCCAGATTCTTCATTATCAGAATATATTTGAGCCTGACTTTGTAGTTGTTGACCAAAAGGTAAAATTCATTAATTCTGTAGGACTAGAAATATTGATTATGTTTCAGTCTTTGGTTATTCTGGTATTTTAAGAATTATAGTGTCAGCATTAGAAGTATAGCTCAGTAGCAGATTGCATATTTAGAGGGCAAAAGGCCCTGGGTTTAAACCCCACCCTGCCAAAACCCCACCCTGTTGGCTAATGTGATTTGTTTGTTCATAGCCCGTGGAGTGACCTTCCTGTTTCCTATACAAGCAAAGACGTTTCACCATGTCTATAGTGGGAAGGACTTAATTGCACAGGCGCGGACAGGAACTGGGAAGACATTCTCCTTTGCCATCCCTCTGATTGAGAAACTTCAGAGTGAGCTGCAAGATAGGAAAAGAGGCCGTCCCCCTCAGGTAACTCTTAAGTGGACCTCAGGCTCCAAGACAGCGYAGGACAAATCTCTCTGGGCATGGTTTACATATCCAACTATTTTTATTGGATTCACCTTAAAGCCAACCATTGTGTTTACTATTAATCTTTATCTGAATGTAAATCAGGCTGATTCTTTTTAAGACTACTATCCATAAACCYTTTATATTTAAGATTTATACTCTGTCCCATGATTGTGATCACCAGTAACATTAATGTTCATTATACTCCTTTTAYTTATTTATTTATTTATTTTTAGTTATACATGGCACAGTATCTTTATTTTGTTTTTTATTTTAATGTGGTGCTGAGGATCGAACCCAGTGCCTCACATATGCGAGGCAAGCGCTCTGTCATTGAGCCACAACCCCAGCCCATCATCATACTCCTTTTAAACTATAGATTGTGCCTGGAGTTCACACATTTGGTTAARTGTCTTTGACATTAGATGGATAAAGTATTTTTAGTAGAAGAACTTCACTACAGGTTCTTCTGTGCCAGACTGCTTGAGTTTAAATAATCTAGATTCTGTCTCTAACTACACTTTTGGTTTCAGTTAAGTAATTTATACTCTAGTGTCTATCTCAAAAGGCTATTATGAGAATGAGATCAGAATAATGTAAAGTACTTGGTAGAGCATAAGTCATAGGAAAAGCAAAAGTATCAGCTAATGGTATCGTCATCATCATCCTCAGTATAGCTTCTTCTTCATATCATTATTTTCCTGGATTGCTGTTTTATGAAACTTCCTATAGTTCCTTCCTGTATCCACTTATTTTTTTTATTTATTTTTGGTACAAGATATCCACTTCTTTTTTAATTTATTTTTGGTACAAGAGATTGACCCAGGGGCACTTAATCACTGAGTCATATCCCTAGCCCTTATTATTTTTTATTTTGAGACAGAGTATCACAAAGTTGCTTAGGGCTTTGCTAAGTTTCTGAGGCTGGCTCTGAAACTTGAGATTCTCCTGCTTCAGCATCCTGAGTTGCTGGGATTACAGGTGTGCGCCACCACACCCAGCTTCTATTTCTCTTCTGACTGGTGATCACAAACTTCGAAGTATATTTGTCTGGAACCATAGTTATAAATTTTTTTTTTTTTTTTTTTTTTGGTACCAGGGGCATTTAACCACTAAACCACATCCAACCCTTTTTTGTATCTTAGAGACAGGGTCTCACGAGTTGCTTAAGGCCTCACTAAATTGCTGAGGCTGGCATTGAACTCATGGTCCTCCTGTCTTTTTTTTTTTTAATTATTATTATTATTATTATTAATATTTATTTGTAGATGAACACACAGTGTCTTTATTTATTTTTATGTGGTGCTGAGGATCGAACCTAGTGCCTCCACATGCTAGATAAGCACTTTACCACTGAGCTATAGCCCCAGCCCTGATCCTCCTGTCTTTCCCTCCCAAGCTGTTGGGATTATAGGCGTGTGCCACCACACCCAGCTCCATAGTTAGAATTTTTATAATATATTGGAAAGCACATAATAGATGTTTTTAAAATATATCAAAAATTCAATAGTAAGTTGACCTTTCAGTTGGATTCCCAAGTGATAAACAAATAATACACATTGCTTTGAAATCAATGAGGTCTTTTTCTTTCAGGTTCTGGTTCTTGCACCTACAAGGGAGTTGGCAAGTCAAGTAAGCAGAGACTTCAGTAACATCACAAAAAAGCTTTCAGTGGCCTGTTTTTATGGTGGAACTCCCTATGGAGGTCAAAGTAAGTAAATTCAAAAGCAGGAGAAGGAATATGTCATCCATTATTTTTGATGCCATGATGGGATTCATATCTGTCTTCTCTCCCTGGTCTAGTCATTTATGGTGTTTGTCTTTTGCCATTTTTGTTTAAAGATGGTCAAAAACATGTTTCTGAGTAATGATGGGTAAATTCTATATATGGTTCTTAGGACTTTTGCATTACCTACCAATTTTTACATAAGGATTACAAAGGTAAAATATTGAGGGCTGGGGATATAGCTCAGTTGGTAGTGTGCTTGCCTTGCATGCCCAAGGCCCTGRGTTTGATCCCCAGCACCACAATAAATAAATAAATAAATAAARACCAAAAGTAACTTGTTGAAATCAAGAGGACAGAATCAGTAGGGTCCTAGGAATTAGAAAGTCAAAATTTGAGGTCATTCTGTTTTCTATCAGTCTCTGCATCCTTCTTGTTTGTTTTCTTTCCTGTAGGGGGACTGACTTTCTAGGGACCCCAGGACCTAATAGCCCCTGCTTTAGCAGTTCATCACTTCCCAGTTAAGACCTTGCAGCTTGAATATGTAGAGTATATATGAGGGGTTTAAGGCATTTAAAAAATCTCAGTATTGGCACACAAAGCTTCTGATTATTTCTTTCCAACTTTGGTAGAATGAATGTAAACATTGGCATCAGAAAGTCATTTGAATCTAGACTCTGCTCAGTGAGTAGTTTTGTGACTTTATGCTCAAGTTGCTTAATTTTTTAATGCTTTACTTTCMTTATCTATAGAATAGGTTAATAAACCTACCTTTCAGGGATATTATGAGAATTAAGTTGTATAAAATGTGTAAAGTGCCTAGTATGATCCCTAAACTATACTGGAAACTTGAGAAGGAGAGTGGGATCTGGGGCAGAGTGCTTGCCTAGTTCTTTGCCCTTATGGTGGGAGGACCTCATCCCAGTTATAAGAAATGCTTCAATTTCCCCAGATGTTTCTGTACACTATAAGAATGTTTGAAATTCTACTGTTTGTCCTCCCTGTACCTGTTTACCTTGTAGAAAGTTCTTAGTTAAGATTCTTATCTCCACTCTATGTAACCTTGACACTTTCTGCTAGCCGAGCAAGTCATTCTTTCCTGGTGCTACCATCCCCCAGTGGTGCACTTTCCAATTGTATAACTTAATATAACGGACTGTCACTTCTTACATGCTTTTCCCTGCTATATCAGAAGCACCTTGAGTGTCTCTGTAGCTGCCTAATCAGTATTTGTAGCATATTACTTTGTACTATCTAATCAGTATTTTTGAATGGAAATGCATTTAAATGGTACCCCAGAATGATAAAAGGATTTTCTTTAAAAATACAGCCAATCTTTTCTTTGGTGTTCTTTATAGTCGAAAAAATGCGGAATGGGATTGATATCCTGGTTGGGACGCCAGGTCGTATCAAAGACCACCTACAGAATGGCAAGCTAGATCTCTCCAAACTTAAACATGTTGTCCTGGATGAAGTTGACCAGATGTTGGATATGGGTTTTGCTGATCAAGTAGAAGAGATTTTATGTGTGGCATACAAGAAAGGTAAACCCCAGAGTTGAAGAACTGATAAAAAGGACCTGAGGAAGGGTGGTGATGATGTAATCTTCTAAGAGATAAATGAAATTTTAGGGAGTTTCAAGGGGATTTATTTTATTCGGGAAAATGAGCAGTTTATAAATAATCATGATTTATCACATAATTGCAATGAGAGAAAGTTAAAAGAAAAATTATATATTCTATCAATTCTGTGTACTTTGCTTTTGGTGTATTCCAGGTATTCTGTATGTTATTGTGTGTATGTGTGCAAGTGCCAATTGTAACCTTAACCTTATGTATTAAAACTCAGCATAATAGCCACCTGCATGGAAACACATGCCTGTAATTCCTGCTACTCAGGAACCTGAGGCAGGAAGATTGCAAGTTCAAAGCCAGGCTTAGCAACTTAGCAAGCCCCTAAGCAATTTAGTGAGACCCTGTGTCAAAATATAAAAAGGCTGGGGATATAGCTCAGTGGTATAGAGTGTGTTCCATTCCCTCTACTGGAAAAGGAAAAGAAAAAAAATTCTTCTTAAATCACTTCTACAGATTTTCTCGGACTTCAATATCTGGAATTAGTTCTTTAGGATAGATTTCCAAAAGTAGAATTATTGCCTTAAAAGTTATAAATAGTTCATGCTTTTCAATATACATTGCCGAATTGCTCTTCAAGAAGATTCTGTCAGCTTTATACCACTATTCGAAATGTGTGTGAATGCAGTGATACTCTTAAGGGAAACAAAAATTAATAGGTGATCTCAAGAAACGAATAAATGTGAATTCAAAATTGATAAAATATTAAGCAAATATCAAGGAGTATATAAATGTGTATAGAATCTCTTGCAGTTTTTGAACAGCTTATTTAGATAATTATTCTGTTGGTTACTACTCTTTTTTAGTTGATAAATTTCACTATATTGGAAAAATTTGTTTCATGATTCTTAAAGGCCAATGATCAGAAAAACAGAATACGTTTAAAGTGCTTTAATTGTTTCAAAGAGCCTTTACATAAATTATTCCAGTAGCATTTCTTTGTGTGTTGGAAATCTTTTTTTATATTGTGTTTTTACTGCATGGCTAGACTCAAATAATTTCTGATGAATGTTGATACAGCATGGAAGTATTAGGTGAGATAAGATACTGTGTAGGCTTGTTTGGATTTTTCATAATGACTTTTTTTTCCCCCCCCAAAGATTCTGAAGACAATCCCCAAACATTGCTTTTTTCTGCAACATGCCCTCATTGGGTATTTAATGTTGCTAAGAAATACATGAAATCTACATATGAACAGGTGGACCTGATTGGTAAAAAGACTCAGAAAACAGCAATAACTGTGGAGGTAAATGATTCATTTAGTTGCCGGAATTGGTATAAAATTGTCTGTAATTTGTTTCTTTTCTGATAATATTAGGACTGCCAAATATAGTTTCTTTCCAGGTAAATGTCAAATCTATGTGAAAAGTCAAGTAAAGATATATTTCTACTTGAGTTGCATATGGTTTTCTGTATTCTCTAAATTTCATCATCTTGTAGACTAATTTCAGAATCATTTGRACCCTAAATTGTTTGAATTATGTAAACAAAGAAATTACACTTAGAATTTAAATACTAGAGGGCAACAGAGAATACGGATGTTTTATTCTAAAGCTATTTTCATCTTAGGGTCCGGTACCTAGATGAATTCATTTCACCCAAGGAACATAGTAGTGCAGTAACTGACTACAGATTGTATTTTAAAACAGATGAAAAAACAAAACATACAGAAACTTTAAAAAATTCTCAATTATATGGCTTTCTGTAGGAATCTGTGTAATTGCTTTTTTCCCCCTTTATTTTCACTTAAGTAAGAAAACAGAAGCCAGGTGCTCTCTGGAGAGAATGGAGAGGCAGAGGGGAACAGACCATGTTGCTCTTAATTTTAATGGTTTAGTTACTTTTTTTTTTCCTTAGCAGTGGTGGCAGTAATCTGCCTGGTTAGGCTTAAGCCCTTGTTCCAATACCAAGACATTAGACCTTGGTATTGAGCATGACATTTGAGGTTCCAGCAAGTCCTACTAAATAGATTTYTTTTTCTTCCTCTCTTAAATAGCATCTAGCTATCAAGTGCCACTGGACWCAGAGGGCAGCAGTTATTGGAGATGTGATCCGAGTATATAGTGGTCACCAAGGGCGTACTATCATCTTCTGTGAAACCAAGAAAGAAGCCCAAGAGCTGTCACAGAATGCATCTATAAAGCAGGTTAGTCCCTCTCATGCCTGCAAAGCTAGAGTCATCAACAAGTCTTCACTTTGGGCATATCTGCTCTTAGTCTGTTCATTTATCTAATGACTTCCAAGTTTATTTTARGTCAGAAGTAAGAGGGTACTTTTTTCAAGAATGGTCAGGTTATCTATCCATCCATGTTAGAGCTTATCTAATGTTATCAGTCTCATCAAACAGAGAGGATAGGATGACTCAAACCTAAAACTACTCTGACAAAAATAGGTGTGATCTCTGGTTTGGTGTTCCTAACCCTGATGTGTATATTTAAATATAGTCAATTTAATGAGAGAGGATTTGAAAATAATTTGGAGGTTCCTCCATGTAAGAAGATATATGTTTTCCCCTTTATTATATTTTCAGCAGGAGTATTATTAAAATATTAGCTTTTACAAACCTAGTTGAGGATGTATTAGTGGAGCTAGTTTTCTTAAGCCAGTTTTTTCTTCTGCAGGATGCCCAGTCATTGCATGGAGACATTCCACAGAAGCAAAGGGAAATCACCTTGAAGGGTTTTAGAAATGGTGATTTTGGAGTTTTGGTAGCCACCAATGTTGCTGCACGTGGGTTAGATATCCCTGAGGTTGATTTGGTTGTACAAAGCTCTCCACCAAAGGTATGTATTTTATACATAGGTTTTGTTACATGCATGTGCTTATAATAATTAATCTTTTCAGTGCCAGGATGGTATGGTGAGTTAAAAAATAAAGCCTGTTATTTGAAACTCTTTTCTGTACAATTGACTTCTGAGTGGAAGAACAGTCAGTGGGCAGAGGTTGGAATGATAATTTCTGGTTAGACAGGGAAATTCTGAGAGACTTCATGGAGGTAGTACAGTTTTGAACAGGATCTTGAAATTGGTAGAAGATTTAGATGGGGTAGTTGTGGAATACATAAATGCATGAGCTTGAAGAGGACTAAAGAGAAAAGGCCTGGAGGGAGACACCAACCTCTGTGTTAGARCTACTGAGGTTTGTGAGTTATAGAACCTTTTGTTTATGTGTTGTGGATAGTGCTTATGTAAATAAAAGTCTAAAATCTGTTCCACTCGCCTCCATTACTTTCCCTCAAATTGTCAAATGTCTTTTAATTAAAGGTTGTTTAAACTGATGGAAAAACAAAACCCCAATTACTATGAATTCACTACTTCTTAAAAAAGGAAATCCCTTAAGTGTGACATAAATCTTGTTTCATGAACCTGTAGACTTGTGCTGTGCAGTATGGTAGCCACTAGTTATGCATCTGTTAAACATTTGAAATGCAACTAGTATGGATTTGTATATGTTGTAAGTGTAAAATACACACTGGACTTTCAAAAACTTTATTAAAATTTTGAAGGCTTATGAAAAAGGATATAAAATATCTTGTTAATTTGTACATAGATAAAATATTGAAATAAGACTTGGATATATTAAATTAAATATTTTAAGTTAAATATTCTATTTTACTTTAGTTGTGGTACTTAAAAACTGGAAATACACATATGCCTCTTAGAAAAAGCACTGTTTTACACAGGGTTTTTAATTGTCTCAGGTGTTTGGTTTGAAGTGCTAAGGGACCTCCTCCCTTATGTCCCAGGCACACCTTACTTGCTAGCCCTTGTTGTAGAGAGATAGTATTCTCAGGTGTTTGGTTTTTTTGTTGTTGTTGTGTTACTTGTGTGTTTTACTTCAATAGGATGTAGAGTCCTACATTCACCGTTCTGGGCGGACGGGTAGAGCTGGAAGGACAGGAGTTTGCATCTGCTTCTATCAACACAAGGAAGAATATCAATTAGCACAAGTGGAGCAAAAAGCGGTAAAGCTATTTTCCTAGCTTTCATCTAGTGGATAACATTATTAATCTTTTGACTTCAATTTTAATTTCAAATTATTATTTTTCTTCTAGCATATGACCCTGACTGAAAGCTTGTTAAGTATATGTTGTTTTACGTTGTCCTACAAAGCCCATTTTGAAATAATTTTGTATTTGAAAGCAGGAGTTTCTGGCTGGGGATGTGGCTCAAGCGGTAACTGTGCTCGTCTAGCATGTGCGGGGCGCTGGGTTCAATCCTCAGCACCATATAAAATAAAGACGTGACGCGTGTCCACCAAAAACTGAAAAAATAAATATTAAAAAATTCTTTCTCTCTCTCCTCTCTCTCTCTCTCTCTTAAAAAAAAAGCAGGAGTTTCTTTTTCATGTTTGAAAAGCATTTTTTGGATTATGAACATTAGAAATATTTGATCAGGTATAGGAATTGCTTGAAAACAAAAGAATTGACGTGGCTATTGTCAAAAGGTTAAAGGGAGAGGAGAGGCTAATTTCCTTATAGAATTTTATTTTATTTATATGTTTGAGGGTGGGCAACGCAAACCCTTACAACTGGCAGAAGGGCATGCTATGGAACCTGGCTAGCAAGGTCATCTGGGTGGACAGTCCACCTGCTTATATCTTGAGCCTAACGCAACGTTTCCCTTCACTCTAATTGAAGGTAGAATTTTAATAATGTATATAGAACTTTCTCCTCCAGGAGATGAAGCTTAACCTCTTTTCTCCTTGAGTGGACTACACTTCATGACTGAGTAGTAAATGACTTACAAAGAATAGAGTRTGTGTCAGGCACCAATGCACTCTTCTGTAATCCCAGTGACTTGGTAGGCTGGAGCAGGAGGGTCACAGTTTGGAGGTCAACCTCTACAGTGTAGTGAGACCTTGTGACGGACTAGAATGTAGCTCAGTGGTAAAGTGTCCCTGGGTTCCATAATGGAGGAAGTTGAAGACTTTTTGTCTGTGTACTTGGAATTGAACATGGAAGTGCTCTTATCACTGAGCTACATCCTCAGCCTTTTTAAATTTTGAGACAGGGTCTTACTAAGTTAGTAAAGCTGGCCTCAAATTTGGCATTTCTCTTACTTCCGCCTCATAGTAGTTGAGATTATAGGCATGCCACCTCCATGTCCAACTTTAGGAGTTGGAGTTTTACAATGGAGAATCTAGCAARCATTTCCTAAGCCAGGGAATCTCAAGTTGAGGGCTATTCTATGAAAGAATTCTTTAAAGCTGTTAAGGTCATGGAAAACCAGGAAAGATAGGCATGGAATAAAGTCTAGGATTCAGTTAATAGTAATTTTATCAATGTTGGTTTCTTAGTTCTTAAAAATGTGCCATAGTAACATGAAATGTTAGCAATGGTAGGAATTTGGTGGGTGGTATACAAGAACTTTGTACTGCCTTTGTAACTTTTTTTTTAATATCAGTTGTTAATAGACCTTTATTTTATTTTATTTATATTTGGTGCTGAGAATTGAACCTGGTGCCTCACACATGCTAGGCAAGCTCTCTACCACTGAGCCACAACCCCAGTCACCCTTTGTAACTTTTTTTTGTTTTCTGTTTAATACTTTGATTTGGTAGGTATAAAAAATTATGGAGCTACTTAATAATGGAAACAAGTGATGATCATGGTATGTTAAACTATGGATTGTTTTCTTACAGGGAATTAAATTTAAACGAATAGGTGTTCCTTCTGCAACAGAAATAATAAAAGCTTCCAGCAAAGATGCCATCAGGTATGTTCCCTACCCTCACTGTGGACTGTGTAGTGTTTGTTGTGTGTATTRAATATGAATGCCTTTGTGTAGTACCTCTGGGATTTGGCCTTTTAAAATTTGTTTTTATTTTCTGTAGTTCTGAATATTAACACACACACACACACAGAGTACTGGGGACTAAACCCAGGGGTACCCACTGACATACATTCCCCAACTCTTATTTTTAAGACAGGGTCTCACCAAGTTTCCCAGGCTGGCCTTGAACTTGCAGTACTCTTGGGTCAGCCTCCCACATCACTGTGATTGTAGGCATGTGTCATCATGCCCAGCTTTTATCCATTATTTTAACAAATTTCATAACCTTATTTAAGGAATGAAAACTGAGATGTGGTGTAGGTGCTTCATGTCCAGTTACTGATTAGATTTGATCACAGGTTATATTTTAGATCTTCATTAATTATTATCCCATTTGGTAGAATAAAAACTTTTTTTTGGTGGAGGTGGTAGGAATTGAACCTAGGACCTCACACTTGCTAGGCAAGTGCTGTACTGCTGAGCTAAATCATCAGCCCTGAAAACTGATTATTTCTTTAGGTTCTAGTAGATATCTAGATAGTAAGGATTGGGTAAACTAACAGTRTTTGTCAGTGGAGATGTTACTGGCATTGAAAACAAAGAGTGTATTTATATGAGATTGTTCTACAAACTGAAGGATATTTAACTGTTTAGAATTCCTGACTGTTTCTCCTGTGCATCATATGCATGGGGTAAGTAGGGCTGGCATTATGAAAACCATTTTCCATTTCCTGGGCACAGAGTACTCAGTGGTGTGTCTCTTGCCTAGCATGCAAGAGGCCCTGGGTTCAAATCTGTAGCATCATGAAAAGGAAGAGCCCACAACAAAATGATGAGTAGCTATACTATTGCAGCATCAGACTGGTGGCTGGGTGGTATTCAAATATGGTATAATAGTGCTTCAGGATTCAATAAACTGAAGTTAATTTAGATAAATAAATGAGGATGAACGTATAAAATGATTTCCTGCAGACCTTAATGGTGACAGGATATTTCACATTAAGAGAGTAGTGGAACTGACCATCATATTTTGCTTTAAAGAACAGTTGATAAGAGAGGATAGATTCTACCTGAACCATACCCAAAAGAGATTATTTGGGGCAGAGGTGAGGGGAGGAAAGAATGGGCAGAGAAATGATTGTATAATTGAAATCTATATATGCAGTTGTCTTCAAAGTATTTGTGAATTTGATTAGACCTGAAATATACAATTTAAGAATTATTTATCCATTGTAATTTTAAAAATAGAAACCATCCATGACTAAAAGACATGCTTGCCAGGTGCAGTGGTGCATGCCTGTGATCCYAGCAACTCAGGGGGCTGAGGCAGAGGATAATGAGTTCAAAGCCAGTCTCAGCAACCTTAGTGAGGTACCCTAATAAACTATTAAAAAAGGATGTGATTAAGCACCCCTGGGTTCAATCCCCAGTACCAAAAAAAAAGCCCTAAAGATCAGCTTATTAATGATAGCTTGGGAAAGTTCAGCAAATGAAAAGATTTTAACTCAATATTTTTCAAAATTATTTTTAGCTTCATCAATTTAAACCTGATTTGGGTACAGGCAGGTGCTACACTACACACCTACAATCTCAGCACCTCAGAAAGTTGGGGCAGAAGGAATTAAAGTTTTGAGGCAAGCCTCAGAAACTGAAAATTTATAAATTTTTATAAATCTCAAAATTTATAAAAAAGAGCTGGGGATGTAGCTCAGTGGTAACATGCCCCTTGGTTCAGTCCTCAGTTCCAAAAAAAAAAAAAAAAAGAAGAAAGAAATGAATAATGTTTATTGGGGGAAAAGGTATCACATTATTTATCATCGTTTTTAATGGCAATATGGCATTTTATTGCATAAACATTTTTCTTATCTGTATATATGAGTAGACCATATTGATGCACATTTTCAAATTCTTTATACTTTCAGCATATTGTCAATCACACTATGCTGTTACTTGTAACTTTTCTCCTAACAAATGTACTCTCAATCAAATCACAGGCTTTTAGACTCTGTCCCTCCTACTGCCATTAACCACTTCAAGGAGTCAGCCCAGAAGCTGATAGAGGAGAAGGGAGCCGTGGAGGCTTTAGCAGCAGCTCTGGCACATATTTCAGGTGCCACATCAGTAGATCAACGCTCCTTGATCAATTCAGAAGCGGTATTTCTGATACCTTGTATTTGGGGTTTTAGTAGGATTTGAAAGGGTTCATTTAAACTTGCCAGTTTTTGCTGTCTTGTAAAAGTAGGAAACTATTAACTGCATTTTACCTTTTTCTAATTGAAAATGTACATTCAGGTCCATAGAGACAAAATAAATTAATGTTGTTTGTCAGTGGTTGGGTGGAGGGAGAAATGGCAAAGACTGCTAATGGGCATGAGTTTCTTTTTGGGGTGATGAAATGTTCTAGAATTGTAAATAGTGATGATAGTTGCAAACTTTGAATTTACTAAACAACCCACTGCATTTTATACTTAAAATGTGAATTTTGTGGTATATGAATAGTATCTTAATTCTTTTAATTCCTTATGAGCCCAAACATATACACATAAATACAATATAATTTAGCCAGGATATCTAGAAACTTTTTAGAAAGTTTTTATGCTTTTATTTTCCTTTTATAAGTTGAAGTTTTAAAATTTTTATTAAATATAGATTCACRTGTAGTTGCGAGAAATAATATGTGGTCACCTATACACTGCCCAGTTTCCCCTAGTGGTTATATTTTAGAAAACTATGTTACCATAATAAAGATGTTGACATGATTTAATGAATCAATCTTATTAAATGAGACTGATTCTGGTCTCTCTAGGGGGCAGTGTATGCTTTTTTTAGAGGGAACTTTCAGAAATACTTTAGAATATAAGGGTAAGTGTTTGTGATGTAGATTTGTTTTTTGAGACTTAATTTTGTTCCCCTTTCTTCCATAAGGGTTTTGTGACCATGATCTTGAGGTGCTCAATTGAAATGCCGAATATTAGTTATGCTTGGAAAGAACTAAAAGAGCAACTGGGCGAGGATATTGATTCCAAAGTGAAGGGAATGGTCTTTCTGAAAGGAAAGCTGGTAAGGCTGGGCCCTTTCTCAGACTTAACTTTGGTTCAGTAGCTGAATGTGGGCAGTAAAACAGAATGATGTCTTCTTGGTGTTCTGTGGGGAGGCTGCCTTTATTTTTTCACTCTGTATCTGCACTGACCCCTACAATTGGGAGGCTCTTAGTTACTGCAACTAACTACCCATGTCTATGTTTCCAGCCCAAACCATTCTGTACACCATGCCAGCCAAAAAGATCAAATTACTGCACTGATAACTTCACRTGGCATAATTAACTAATTCAGCATATTTCCTTTTTTGGTGGTAGTGGGAATGGGATTCAATTTAGATGCTATTTAAGCACTGAGCTAAGCCAGCCTATCCTCCCCCAMTCCCCCTTTTTTTTATATCTTTTTTTTGAGACAATGTCTCACTAAATTACTGAGGCTGGCTTCTAATTTGCAATCCTCCTATCTCAATCTCCTGAGAAGCTGGGATTACAGGCATGCACCAACATGCCTAGCTTTAGTTCATATTCTTGAATTCAGGTTCAAAATTTGAATTTTTGCTGGGTATAGTGGTGCACACCTATAGCCTCAGCAACTTCGTGAGGCCCTTACCAACCTAGTGAAATTCTGTCTCAAAATAAAAAATAATAAGGGATAGGGATGTGGCTCAGTGGTTAAGTGCCCCTTAGCCAATCCCTGGTGCAATAGATAGATAGATAGATGATAGATAGATAGTTCTTGCCTGCCAAACCTAGAAAACTTCATTTTTTCCTTTGTGGGAAAATGAGTGAAAGGCACAGATTTATTATGAAGATAGTTTTAACTGGAATCCTAAAGAGCCTCAGGTTTCCAAAGGTGCACTGCTGGTAAAAGAAATCATATTTACCCCAAAGGTATGTGGAGTTGCTTGAGGTAAACAGTGTGATCAAACAGGCAGTGAGCTGTCTTCAGGTTAAGGTAAACCTGCCCTGGTTACCAGTTTCAGCTCCATCGCATCATCCCCAACACCCTTTACTCTGGCTGTGCCAAGTACACCATGCTGTCTTCATTCATGACTGAAGACTGAGCCCCTACTTTTCCAGTATTTTACTCTCCACAGTGTCCCTTAAATTTCCCTGTAAAGCTTTGCTGTCCTTACCAGGCAGAGTTAGGGGCATCATTATCCGTACTTCAGAGTTCTTAGGACATATTATTTATTTAGTTAATTTTTGTCTTGCTGTCATTTGCTTTCTGACTGAAATCCTCAAGAGCACTGTGATCTACACAGTGGTAAAAATAAACACTAAGTAAGTATGTGAATGGAGAGTCCCATGATTGACAGGATCCATCAGTACCTAATGATACTCGTGTTAGCATTGGGCGAACTGCTGGGCAAAAGGGGTGCTTCTGATAAAATCCTGTAGTTAAAAGACAATAGGGAGAGGAGTGACTGTCTGTTACGCGGTAGTTTGACAGGCTTGTAGGTAACTTCCCTTGGAGAGGAGGGCACTTAGCATCAAAGATCTTATCCTACAGCATTAACTTTTTCATCCTCTTTCACAGGTGGCTGAATTATGAAAAATTATGAAAAACTAGAAAATTAACAGAAGTTTTTGTTGTCGTTGTTTATTTGTTTTGTTTTGTTTCTTGCTCTTAGTTTGGTCATTCTAAATAGCTCTCAGTGCTTTTCTAATGGAAGGCAGTAAAGTGTAATGGTTTTTAAGCCCTACACACTGTATTTTAAATACCTGCCCCACTTAAATTGTTGTGGGGCTTTACACGAGTCAATCAGACTCTCCAATTTTGTTTCTTCAGCTATAAAATATAGCTAGTAGCCTTTCTGTACCATCCCACAAGGTCCAACTTAATTCTAAAGTAGCTGAGAGGTACTAGCCAGGAATATATCTRCAGTCAAGAAGTTCCAAATTGTTTTGAGTCCTTCTTAACTGTTCCTTGGCTTCCTGCTTTTGTGTTTTGGGTAGCTGTAGTRTATTGGCTTTAGACTAAAGTTCATTTAAAATTAATATCTGAAAGCTGGTATATGCCTGGGAGGCTGAGGCAGGAGAATCATGAGTTCAAGGTCAGCCTCACCCTTTTTCTAAATACATACATAAAACTGGGTGAGTTTTATTATTTTCTTTGCAATACCTTGTATTTATGGTATCACTTAGTGTTTATTGATTATATTATTGATTTATATTATTGATTTATTGATTATATTATATATTTTCTTTGATTTCTAGGGTGTTTGTTTTGATGTTCCTACTGCAGCAGTCACAGAAATACAGGTATTTTCTCTTGGACTTTTTGTTTTTGCAGTACTGGAGGTTGAACCCAGGGCTTTACACATGCTCGGCAAGTGCTCCAACACTGAACTATACCTTCCCCCCTTTCTCCTGGACATTTTAAAGTTAATATACATAAGCTGGGAAGTGTTCATTGTGAAAATACAGAATGATAGGGTGGCGGACAGTTGAGAATTACATTTGGTACTTTTTTCTCCTGTCCTTTTAATTCTCACATTTGTTGTTGAGCCTGCCTTTTTTCCTTTCTAGAGTTGTGAGTGATGTCCAGGCCCTCCCCACCCACGTTATACATGTTTTCATACACATTTTAACTTGAGAGATGGATTTGTAAATGTGCATTTGTTTTATTACCCCTGACARCTAGAGACCAAGTAGAGGTGAAATGGAAAAATGATGCAGTGAGGAGGTTCCACGTGAAAATTATTTTCTAGTGGCATCTGGGCTGAGAGTCAGTATTTGGAACAATGGCCTTTTAACACTTATGTTATCAACCTAGTTGTTTGTTGGAGAAATGACAACAATGTGGTTTTTTTCATGCCTTTTAAACCATTTGAATAAAAATCAAAGGTGAAAACAGAACTTTCCCTCAACAGGAGAAATGGCATGATTCACGACGCTGGCAGCTCACTGTGGCCACAGAGCAACCTGAGCTGGAAGGACCACGGGAAGGATATCGAAGCTTCAGGGGTCAGCGAGAAGGCAGCCGTGGTTTCAGAGGACAGCGGGATGGAAAAAGAGGCTTCAGGGGACAGCGGGGAGGAAGTAGAAACTTCAGAGGAGGATCAGGAGGTGGAAACAAAAGCAACAGATCCCAAAACAAAGGCCAGAAGCGGAGTTTTAGTAAAGCATTTGGTCAGTGATTAGAAGTAGAGGATTTGTGTGGCAGAATCAGGACTATGGCACCATGGAACTGAGTGATATTTTTCACACAGAGTTAAAGGCAGGTTGTTTCCTTTTGACCACTTGGCCAGTCCATATCCCCAGAAGAAAGACRGGCTTAATCTAAATTATTTCATCTGATCATTATCATTTCTAACTTTATTGCTTTTATCGGGTTTCCTTTTGAAAAGTAATGAATTGATTACATTGTTATTCTGATATATTCTCTGTAGATATAAGATAGAATCAAGCATGGATGTCTATACTTGTAAGTTGATCTTCTTGTGTTTGTGTGCTGGGGATTGAACCCAGGGCCTCCCACATGCTAAGCATGTGCCCTGTCACTAAGCTACTTAATAGTAGCTTAATAGTGTCCTCTTAATAGTATGCTCTTAATAGTATGCTTCCCTAAAGTAAATATTTACGGGAATACAACAATCTGTGAAGGACCACATTAGCCTTTAAAAGTCAAAAGCTTTGTTTTGTAATTGGTATCTTCAGCCTCCTGCCAGGTACTTACTTGTGTGGTCCTATAATTTGCCTTCTGAGAATTTATACTGAGCAATGTTTTGAAATGAGTTTCAAACTTAGCTAGGTTGTGATAGTTTATGCCTGTGTATATGGTCTAGATTTGAAGGATGAAATAACATTCAATATAGATTACCCATGGTCATGTGCATTTTTAAACGCTTTTAGCTTCTCACTGTAAGGTGAGTCATGCTTCAGTAAGTTCTTCACAGATAGTATATATAGAGAGAAATACATTTTGATAGAAAGCCTGTGTCTTTAAGGAATTCCACGTGTATAAGATGGCTATGTAGCTTTCTTTGTAAATAAGGAGGCTAGATAAATAGTGTTTGAATGATTGTACTCCACTTCTTCCTATTGGAAGATCAACATTATTAAGAAGGAATTAAGGGAATAGGGGACATAGGTTTGTGTAGAGTATGTGCAAAAAAACTCACTGAAAATATTCTTTACATGTAAGAAGGAAACAATAAGTGAAAAGCAAAGAGTACAAGTGAAGATGCATGATAAAACATTATTTTAATGATTGATGTGTTATTTCAAGAGGTTTACTTCTAATGGGCAAGCTGGGGTTTTGGGGGAGAATGGTCTGCTGTAGTTTCTCAATAGCCTAGATTTTAAAGCCACAGAGTAGGACCTGTTTCTGTAAAACCGATTCTCTCTTGAAATGCTTTCATTGATTAGAGACTTCCTTTAAGACAAACTGAATGGTTATTTAAGTTGTTTCTCTGTGGGAACTGAATACTTACTGTAGCTCCTGTCAGATAACTACACCTGAGGACTTCAGTGTTTGTTGGAAACATTCTACACAGCATAGGCGCTCCAGAGTGGCATTGTCCTCTTGCCTTAATTTCTAGAAATTGTCTTTGATCTGTTTTTTTCCTCTAATTGCCTCTCACTTGATCAACTAGCAAAAAGGGGCTCTGGTAGCCAATTTAGCTCCTGATCATTGAAAACATCCTTTTTCTGTTTGAGCTTCAGTTTTATCCTTAAGTCTGGGACCAGGTATTTCTTGCTGTTTGAGAATTCTCTTGGCCTTTTATTCTTTGATCCATTTGTCAATTTTATCACTTTGTTTTTGTTCCTCATGGATTCCCATCAAGCCACAGGGAATTAGGAGAAGGTATTTTATGACAGTCCACATGTGCCTTTGGGTTATAATTTATCAGATTCTGGTTTTGTCTAGATACTTGGACATGCTTTAGTAAAAACTAAAACATCTAACAATTTGGATAGGAATGGGTACCTCCTCAGGCAGTTTTGAAGAATATAGTAACTGTGCATGATGGGGGTACACACCTGTAATCCCAGCTGTTCTGGAGGCTAAGTCAGGAGGATCACAAGTTTGWGACCAGCCTGGACAAATGATGATATTTTGTCTCAATGAAATTTTGAAAGGGGCTGGATGTGGTAGAACACTTGCTTAGCATGTGTGAGACCTTGGGTTTGATCCCAAGTACTAAAAAGATTTGGTAGCTATCCTTTAGGAAGGATAGCTAAACCTTTTTTATGTGGATTATGGATTAGCCTAAATTAGAAAAATGATCAGGCATAGTGAAGAGTGAAAAGGAAGAGTAATAGGAATTTCACTTTATACAACTTAATTTTAAGAAAAACATGGCTCTTTCAATAAACGAAGCTAACATTTCTTTTGGATTCCAGATTCCAGAATTCACACCATATTATAAGTGTATAATTGAGCTGTTATTTGATTTAAATGGACTTTTTGGGATAGCCTGGGAAATGTTACCATTTTTACTATTTTCTACAGAGAAAATATTTTCAGAGTTATGTGTCAAATAATTCAGCGACTTAAAAATTACAACCCATTTTTGTGTTGGAGCTCTGTGCAGTGCTTCCTCTGCAGTTGTACATAAAATGTTTTTACTGTAAATGAGTTAATATAACATGTTACTTTATGCCATAATAAAAAAAGATATTAGTACTTTATGGTTTTGGTGGCTTTTTGTTTTCTAAAATGAAAGTAGCCCAAAATCATATTATAAAAACAATAAAAGTTGACCATAAAAACCTACGAATAAAACACAGTCAAGAGTCACACCATGTCTGATATTTTGGTGAGCAATATTCCRTGTATTCATTTATAAAATTAGAGTCATCCAGTTTTGTGACTCATCTGGAATTATTTCCCTGCTCCCCCAATGTTCTGTGCACACCTTTCTGTAAACACAGATCTACAATGACTTTTCTTAGTGTTTTGGCACAGAGGATTGAACTTCAGTACTTTACCACTTAGCTATTCCCCCAAGTTCCCTGCCCCCCTTTTTTTTTTTTTTTAAGATTTGAGATGGTCTCACTGAATTGCTGAGGCTGTCCTCAAACTTGGGTTCCTCCTACCTTTGTCTCTCAAGTAGCAGGGATTATAGGCGGGAGCCACCATTCCCCACTCCAGTGATATTTTTGATACCGTGTTTTCTCAAATAGATAAGCCACTATACATTTAACTCAGACTGGCTAAMCACATCGGTATTTCCTCATTTTTCACTATCTTAGGCAACTCTACAGTTATATCCTACTTTATATCTGTATATTTATCTGTTATTTTAGGATATGTTTTCTAAAAGAATTGCAGAATGAAAGTGAATGTACTTGAGTTTTGGRTGTAAACTGCTCTCCAAATTAGTACCAATTTACATTTCAATCAATGTCTCTGAGAACCTGTTTCCCTGCACCACTGCACARTTAGATTTTATCTTTTTCAGTTTGCTAGGCACCAAGTAAAATTTCATTGTTTTTATTTGCATTTTTTAATTGAGGAATAACATCTCATAATGGCTATTTATGTTATTTTTATTCATTATACATTTGTCAGTTTTTAAATTGGGAGCTGTCTTGTTGATAAGAGTTCTTCATTAGTTATTAGCATGTAACATTTTCCAAATTCTTTGTATTTCAACTGAAGTGTTTTGACATGGAATTTTATATTTTTATGCAAATGTAACCCATCTTTTATTGTTTTTATTATCAAGGAAATGCCTAAATAAACTCTCAAGTTTCAGTTGCTCGTAATTGACGTAAAAAATCACTAATTTTGGAGGTCATGCAAGCTGTGTAATACATTATTATTCTTTCACTAGCTTTGCTGTAGGTATTACCTTTGATGTGATAATGGTTGTTTGGGGTATTTTTCAGGGTCTCTTGCTGAAAGTACTTGGGCTTGCAGATAATCTGGTTTTGGGTGACAGGAAAGGAATGAAAATTCTTAGCATTTCTGTCTTCATATTGTGTCTGTCTGCATTGTAGCCTTAACCTTTGAGTCAGATTCTACACACTTTTTTTTTTTAATACTGTGGGTTGTATTTTTATTTTTWAAAAATATTTTATTTATATTTTAGTTTTTGGCAGACACAACATCTTTGTATGTGGTGCTGAGGAGCGAACCCGGGCCGCAACCATGCCAGAAGAGCGTGTTACCGCTTGATCCACATCCCCAGCCCCAGTTCTACACACTTATGCATGTAGACATGTTGATCACTTGAAAAAAAGTTCTGTCCAAAACCATAATACAATGTTAACCTAGACTTCCATAGTGTCTCCCGGCATCCTTAAGAAACACCTACCGGCTGCCATGACATCAACCATGAAAGGAAGTGAAAACAAGTGGCAACTTTCGCTGCCTATACCCAAAAGACATAAATATTTCCTCCCCTATATTACCCTTTCTTTCTCCCATGTTGGTCCTATCCTTATATTCCCCCTGGAGTGGAGATGCTTATTTGTGAGTATGGGTTCTTACTTCTCCATTCTTTGGACATTGAATGAAGCCTTTCTCCTCAACACTTGTCTCTCAGACATTGGATTTTCTGTGGCATTGGCTTCTGAACCTGGGTTCAGATTATGTCTTTAATTCATCCTAGTTTATGAGGATCAAATAGGGATATTGCCGCAGTCTGACTGGGCACAAAATAACCTAGCCGCCACAAAGCCTTGTAGGTTCAAACAGCAACTCTTTATTCCTGAACTCTCACCTGCACTCTACACGCACTTTCTGGGAACACACTCCCTCCACCAGGCTCCTGGCTCTCAACAGGATATAGCTTTATTTATTTGTCTTCCCAAATTACTACTACTAATTATACAATTTTACAAAATTTTAGTTATAGATGGACACAATACCTTTATTTTTATGTGGTGCGACAGATCAAACCCAGTGCCTTATGTATGGTAGGCAAGCACTCTACCACTGAGCTACAACCCAGCCTTCCTAACTGAACTGTTTTTTTGTGTTTGGGGTGTGGTGGGAGGGTACTGGGGTTTGAACTCAACCACTGAGCTACATCCCCAGATCTTTTTTGTATTTTGTTTATAGAGATAGGGTCTCRTTGAGTTTCTTAGTGCCTTGCTATTGTTGAGGCTGGCTTTGAACTCATGATCCTCCTGCCTCAGCCTCCCAAACTGCTGGGATTACAGGCGTGCATCACCATTCCTGGCTTGAACTTTTTTTTTTTTAATTTTTAGTTGTAGTTGGATACAATACCTTCATTTTATCTATCTTTATGTAGTGCCCATTGAACCCAGGGCCTTGCACATGCCAAGCAAGTACTGTACCACTGAGCCACAACCCCAGTCCCTTAATTGGTTTTTGAAATATTGTCTTTGCTGTATAATTTACAAGTTTTTTCACATCAGTTTTTAAATATTTATTTCCATTGGAATTGCATAAAATTCACAAAATGCATCAAAGTTCTCCAAGAACATATTATTGCTTATAATTTTTATATAATGTATTTTATTTTCAGTTTGAAGTAATTTTAGACTACAAAAATGTGCAAAAAATAGCTGGATGTGGCCTGAGGTTGTGGCTCAGTGGTAGAGTGCTCGCCTAGCATTCGTGAGGCACTGGGTTCAATCCTCAGCACCACATAAAAATAAAATAAAATAAGGATATTGTGTCCACCTAAAAAACTAAAAAATAAATATAAAAAAAATAGCTAGATGTGGTAGTGTGAAAAACCAGCCTCTATCTCAGAGCAAAGCCTGTCCAAGGAAGGGACATGACCTTTGTCCTTGAAAAGACCCACAGAGCACTCCTAGGCACATTCCCACCCTGCTAAGTTATTTATCTACAAATAACAGGAGAGATTTGCTGCGCCAGGTGTCCCTGACTCAGTCAGGCTAGGTGGAGACCCATAGTAACCCCCTAGCAGCATGAGACAGGGAAACACCTGGGATGCCAGCAGACCCTCCCAGTAGTTTATGGTGGTTGATAACGTGTTGGGAAACCATGTAGTTCAGCAGGAACACCCCTTTGGGCTTAAACCAATCGGTTCAAATGAATCCCCCTCTTGTAGTAACCAATCACCCCTCCCCAACTTGTTCCCGCCAGTGAATGTGCTAATCATGTTTTAGAGTTGTTATTTGATTTTCCCGTGGTGTGTGATGATTTGCTAAGAGATGCTATGATGTATGTGAAGTCCCTGCCTTCCCCAAAGAGTGTATAAAACTGCTGCAAACCCTGGGCTCAGGGCCTCTCAGCATCACCAGTTGCTGTGTGTGCGCGAAAAAGAACGAGCTAGCCCGCAATAAACACCTCTTTGCTGCTTACATCGATCTTGTGTCTCTGGTGGTCTTTTGGGGGTCCCGAATTCGAGCATAAMAGTGCATGCCTGTATTGTCAGCTACTTGGAAGGCTGAGGCAGGAGAATCACAAATTCAAGGTCAACTTGAGCAATTTAGCAAGACTGTCTCAAAAATTTTTTTAAAAAGCTGGGATTTTTTTAAATTAGTTACACAAGACAATATAATGATCTTGACATATCATACATTTGAATCAGATGGGGTATAATTTCTCATATGAAAATAAAGTTGTTAGGATAAAAAAAAAAAAGCTGGGATTGTAAGCTTAGTAGTAGAATGCTTGCCTATTAAGTGCAATGCCGCAG